ACCAGGAATTCACATTAAGGTGTTAATGGTATATATAGTTGGTATTGGGTTTTCATGATGAGATGCCTTGGTGCTTATCTGATTTTATTGTAATACCCAATGTAAATCCTTACACAGATATTCTATTTTTGTTGAGAAACAAGTACTGACAGTTTACTGCAAAATGACAAATGAATGCTGACATTTTATTCTTACGTCTTTATAGATCAGTCTAAAGGTTAAGAGTCGTTAATGTGGGCAATCTGCAGTCTCCATATACATAAACAAAATATTCATTCCGGGATAACTATATACGTCTAATGCCATTCACAAGAGATAAGTCAGACTGAAAATGGGGGATGTGATGCAAATTTAACAATCTAAGTCTGTCTTTTGAATGGCTTGATTGATAGGCGGTGTGATCAAATCCCTTTGTCATTTGGTTTGAAAACAAACCATGGACAGGAACATCCTTCCATAAATCAAGAGCCCCTCATAACATCACCTCCAACTATTACAATCACTGGCCAGTCAGTGATTTGGACTTTCCAGTTACATTATGACTGCTGCAGCCAGAAGCCAATCAGTAATCAGATGAAGAATTCTTCTTGACAAGAGTAGATTTCTCCCCTCCCCAGCCACATCCAAACACAAATAGCATCGCACTAAAAATAAGCATAACACATTCCATATTTCTGTAACGTGGATAAAAAAAATAAAAATCGACTGTGTTCATGGGATTCTTTCACTCATTGACAAGAGTACTGTTATGGATTACAGCTAGCAGTAAATTCTGTTCGCCCCTTTTGCTGTTCCTTAAGGTCCCTTGACATCCATGAGGGGCATTTGGGGGAGCATTTGGGGAGGTGACAAATTCCCATTTCCCTAATAGAGATCCTTTCCATTAAAATAAATTGCTGCTGGATTCAACCTGGATTAAAGTCTAACAGAACTCTGTATGGAATATCAGAGTGTTTAATGGCTTAAAATTCCACTGCCTATATTTGGGCTTCAGAAGAAGAACAAAGTTCATTCTCAGAGACTGTAGTCCAGCAAATTGCTCTGTCGTCTGTAGAGGGCACCTGATGGTGTGTTATGCACCTTATTACCCCCCACACTAGCTCACCATTGGTAAGTTCCATCAGAAACTTGTGGTTTTGTAACTTCCTCTGTGACTGTACCGTATTCTTTCTTGGCTGGCTGCGCAAAGCTTTCCCTGTTCTGGGATTCTTCTTTGAAGCTCGCTGTGCCTTCCTTTCCTTTGCCATTGATACTTTAAGCCCTTTTATGGGATTCTGGGGTTGTGCTCTGTTTTCTCTTTCTCACACAATAATTTTTAATATTAAGAACATAAGAAGAGCCCCTGCCGGATCAGAGACTTGGTCTACTTAGTGCAGTATCCTGTCTCTCACATTGGCCAGCCAGTTACTCTGGGGGCATATATTGGTTTAATAAGCTTATGAAAAAAGTTGCTAGCCTTCTTTTCCAGGAGAAGTAATGTGGTAAGATCAGAGAGAAATCGGCTTAGGATTTTTAACTCATTGGCTTCTACCCTACTTATTTGTACTATGAAGCTACCTTTATGCTAGTCTGAGACAGTATTGCATTCCTGACCTTTATGGCCCAGACTACCCGGATCTCAGAAGCTAAGCAGGGTCAGTCCTGGTCAGTATTTGGATGGGAGACTCCCAAGGAAGTCTAAGGTTGCTGCTAAGAGGTAGGCAATGGTGAACAATCTGTTTGTCTCTTACCTTGAAAACTCTACAGTTTTGCCTCTAGTAAAAGGACTTGATGTCTGTGGACAGTTCCAGCACTAGATGAATGCTCTGAGTCCCCCTGATGAAGCCTGCATGGTGAAATGCGTAGGGACTTTGTACAATAAAAAAATCAATCATCTATCACCTGCCTCCCCCCCCCTTTTTGTTATGTTGGCACATTGCTGGGCGCAGCCCATTTTTTCTTCATCTTAAGCTTTTGTACCAATAACATGGGGATAGATTTCCTTCCACAGGCTGTCCAGCTCTGACCTGGATAGCTCAGGCTAGCGCAGTCTCATCAGATCTTGGAAGCTGAGCAGTGTCGGCCCTGGCTTGTATTTGGATGGGAGACCGCCAAGGAATACCAGGGACATCACGTGGAGGCAGGCCATTGCAAACCACCTCTGAATGTCTCTTACCTTGAAAACCCCACAGGGTTGCCATAAGTCAGCTGTGGTGTGATGGCACTTTCCACCACCACGACCACCACCAGAGACTGTCCCAGGAAACTATCAACAAACCTAATACAGCATAAAGGATTTCATAGACCAGAGCATGTTTTCATGCAAGGAGCTTCTCCTAAACCGAGAACATCAAGCAGAAAAGGGGAAATTCCTGCATCTGACATACGGGCACAGTGTTAGTTACAGACTGTGGCCTGTTGGGACAGCACTATTAACACCAGCCTGTGTGAATTAGGCAGTGAATTAAAGCATACAGGGGATGCCAACCTACTTCTTCTTGTTTCTAATTGATTTACACAAAGAGACAACAGTTACAAAGCTAAAAGCAATGCCACAGAAAGAAAGAAAGGGGTTTGCTGAGCATATAAATGTAATAGAACCCTTCCAAAGGTCAAGACAACTCTTTTGGCGTTCTTTTAAAAGTTGCCGTTGAAACGAGCGATTCCATGATTCATTTCAATGGGAGGTGTGTTGGTATTAGCCAAGGTTCTCGAGGCTTGACCTGAATTTTTATGTGGAAATTGTAAGATGAAGTAGGCAATTCTCTGAAAGAAAGCAGTAAGGATGGGGCTTGGTACACACTGCGGTATTAACTACTCCAGCTTCAGATAGCCCTGTTGTTCACGCTTTCAAAATGCTAGCAATTTGCATCAAACTGTTTTGCTGTAATGAAACAAATCATTTGGGTGTTATCGGGGACTGGATCACATCTCTCATTCAACTGCTGCTGATTGTTCCAAATGCCTATAGAATGTGCTTGAACTCTGCCTTTTCCATATCAGCTTTTGAAGCCCGAAGTCTGTCTTTATGAGGGTAATGTGAGAATAACTAGCGAATACTACAGGACAAAGTAACACCACATTTCATTTTTTTTAAAAAAAATTGTAACCTTACAGGGCGAAGCAGAACTAAAAAAGCAAAGGACCTGCAAGTGTCTCCCATTGGTTACTGGCAAACAAAACAGGCTTTCCAGCCATTTGAAAAAGGACTCGACTTTAACAGTGCTTGCTTAGGAGAGTTATTTTCATTTCTCATGGCTATCATAGCCTAAATTACTAATAAATAACTGATTTTTCAGCTGATGCGGCTTGCTAGAGCAGTGCAAAATGAAAAGAGAAAAAGCGAGGGGGAGGGAGGACTGTGTTTTGATGGAACAGAGAGAGAAATGTGTACTGCTATTATTTCAGTGGTGTTTGGAGGCGTTGAAAACAATTAAAGCAAGTCCTGATTGCTCTCAGGTTTACACAGATATTAACCTTACTCACACTATGGAAATTGCGTGTTGACAATAATGGGTCACTTCAGGGCTTGGTGATGTTACCCTGAGAATCAAGGGAAGCAGATACAGGCGACCATTCACACATGCACCCCAACTCTGCTCCTATTAGGACCTGTTTGTATACATGGGTTGAAGGCTGGTGCAGCATTTTCCCATAAAATAATGAGACCGTTGTTTTAAAAAGCTGAATTAACTACAAAGGGACAGACTGAAGGCAAGACAGACAGAGAATTTAAAAGGCAATTGGCAGTCAAAATTTATTTATTTATTTAATTTATTTACTCCATTTATACCCCGCCCTCCCCGCGAACAGGCTCAGGGCGGCTTACTTTAGTCGGTACCCAGTACCATAAAACCATATACAAAAGTTAAAACATTTTAAACATTTAGAACAATCAGATAATCAAAGTACTAGTGATAGTAAACGTTTTTCAGTAATTAAGATGGCATACTATTGTCCCGGCTCCGATGGGGCGGGCCTCCCCCACGAGCCCCCGTTCAACCCCCACCCAGAAGGTCCCCCACTCACCACAGCCGCCAGCAGCATCGGAGGGAAGCCCCTCAGTCCCGAAGCAAGTGAAGACCCCTACGACCATGTGGAGGGAGTCAGGGGCAGCAGCGAATGCCCCAGCACGAAGGAAACCCGGCTGCTACCTCATAGAGTGCGTCCCTGTGTACGTGTCGATAGGCGATGGCCTCCATGCTCACTGCCTCGGGCAGGGTCGGAATGCCCCCGCACCTGGCAGAACGTCGGAGCTCTTATAGAGAGGCAGGGCTACTTGTGAGAGACAGCCCGGCATCCTGTGAGAGCGGGAGACAGAGTGGAGGGGAAGATAAAAAGGGGAACAGAGAGGGAGACCGGGGAGGAATAAGGGCGGAGCAGGGGACGGAGATGGGCTGACCTCCGGTCGAAGAGAGACACGACAGGACAGGCGTCTCCACTGGCTCTTGTGGGCGCAGGTTTGCCTTTGGTGAAGTAACCGGGTAGCCGGCCCATTCTGAGGTCTCCCGTTCCCCTTTAAAGGGGTAACATTAGTGCGGGACGGTGACTGGGGGTAGGGACTCCCCACCGAAGCGGGCTAGGGTGCCACAACTATATAGTATATGAACAATTGTTTCCGAGGCAGTGATCTTTTGGCATTGCGCAATGGTATGGCTCAATCTCCAGGCTGGGGCCAACCCATAACCACAGATGTTGGTGGTAGTGGTGTGGCGGCTCCTAATTGAAAGCCTGCTGGAAGAGCTCCATCTTGCAGGCCCTGTGGAACTGTAAAAGATCCTGCAGGGCCCTGATCTCTTCTGGGAGCTCATTCCACCAGTATGGAGCCGCCACTGAAAAGGCCTTGGCCCTGGTGGCAGCAAGCCTGGCGTGCTTAGGGCCTGGGGTTTTATAGGGGTTGCAGTATCAAGGACTAATGATGACAACAATACTGCATTGTGCATACATATATTCATAAATATTCTATAAGATATAAAAATACATTCTTAATCAAGTATAACAATTAATCCATGTCTTTACAGATGATGTGATGGACGAAACTCTCCGGAATATCTTCCGTTTCGCAAGACTTCTTCTTACATCAATCAACCTATCAATTACATTTTACAGCCATTATTATATCAAGGAATAAACCAAGCCTCTAATTACAAAATGCTACCACCATTTCATACATACGATAAGTTGTCTTCATCAAGTCATAGACACTCCATAAGGATTCAAAGATTTTCTACAATAAATTTTTACAAATCTATTAATACATGTTTACCAATAAATTATTTACTATAATAACCATATTTGTGTCTTATTTTGCCGATGTACAAATGAATAATATTTATTACAACATATTTAGGTCTTACCACAGAAGGGAAACCTGGCTTGAATACTGCATTAGATTTGGCATGCTTCTTGTAAGTACTTAGATAACATCGGGTGAGTCTCGTGTTCTAATAGATTGTAAGAGTATCCAGGCAATTCTTTGATCTTTAATTATTTAATTGTATGAAACGGTATGATGAAGATATGTAATTAAATGCATTGTAGTACCTTAATAGTAAGTTTTCTTTGGTGATTATATTGATTGAAATGGTGACAAAAATTTATGGAAGTTTAGACCTTTAAGAGGATGGTTTAAGAACACATAGGAAGGTATTCCTGGTAAGGTTGTTCAGCCCGTGATTTACTGTGAAGTGTGAGGAGAAGGAAGTTCTAAACAATTGGGCTGGGCGTGAGCTCACGGACGCAATCATAGCCGCATAGAACTCCCTCTTTGTGGCTTTGACAGCCATCTCATAGGATCTCATAAACGTCCTATAAGATTTTCTTGTCACTTTGACTCAAGCATGGAACCACCATCTCTCTAGCCATCTCAGCTCCCGCTTCATAAGCTGCAACTCCTGGGTAAACCAGGGAGCAAGCCTAGTGCGGGAGCACAGAGGGCACCGGGGAGATATCTCATTGATGGCTGCGGAGAGCCGACTCTGCCAGTCCTCCACAAGCTCATCCAAAAAGCTACCGGGGGGCATTGGATCCCACAGAGCCATCTGGAGCCGCACTGGGTCCATCTGGTTTTGCAGGTGAGCTAAAATACGCTCGCCGCCGAAACAGGGTTGGGGCTGAACATTCAAACGGGCCCTCATGGGCATGGGGGTCCGATCATGGGACTGCCAAAGCAGTAACCCAGTCCACTGTTACTCCCCCCCACAAAGATCAAATTGAGCGTGTGCCCAGCTTGGTGAGTGGGGTGTTACATATTGGGAGAGTCCCAGCGCTGCCATGGACGACACCAGGTCCGTTGCCCGAGTAGAGGCTGCATCATCAGCATGGACATTGAAATCACCCAAGACTATCAGTCTAGGGTGTTCCAATGCCCAGCCTGATATGGTCTCCATCAGGGATGGCAGGCTATCAGCCGGTATTTGGCAAGTCCAAGTACTATCACTGGTTTGCCAGGAGGAGCCTTAGGAGATGTAGCCACCCTTCTTCACTGGCACTTCTGTTCCCTTCCACTCTGACCATCTGCTCCATGGCACAGTCATTGAGAGTATTGACCCAATCAATGTGTGAGTAGTTAAAATCATCTATTACGACACAGTTATTTCATCTAACTGCTTTCCTTAATTCTTTTGCTGTTTTTAAGTTTCAGGCTTTTTATGTTTTTAAGTTTCAGGCTTAAAAGAGCCAGTTTGGTGCAATGGTTAAGTGCACAGACTCTAATCTGGGAGAGCCAGGTTTGAGTCTACACTCCTCCACTTGCAGCTGCTGGATGACCTTGGGCAAGCCATAGTTCTGTCAGAGCTGTCCTTGAAAGAGCAGTTCTCTCAGAGCTCTCTCAGCTCCACCTACCTCACAGGGTGTCTGTTGTGGGGAGGGGAATGGAAGGAGATTGTAAACCGCTCTGAGACTCCAAGAGAAGGGCAGGGTATAAATCCCATCTCCTCCTCCTCCTCCTCTTCTTCTTCTTATCATTCTTGAACCTTTGATCTGGTGGGCAATAACAAACTTCCAAAGTTAAGCTTTGTTTTGACCCCACTATTTCCACCCGTAACATTTCTGTAAGTGAATCTATTTCTTTTAGATTCTCAGTTTGTATACCCTCTCTGACATACAAAGCCACTCCACCTCTAACCCTTCCCTCTCTGTTCTTCTGATATACTTTATATCCAGGAATCACGGTATCCCACTGATTATCCTCATCCCACCAGGTTTCTGAAATGCCCACAGTGTCTATGTTCTCCTTGTACACTAAGCATTTCAGCTGTCCCATTTTACCTCGGACACATCTAGCAATCGCTTATAAGCATCTGTATTTCCCCAGAAATGTTAAGCCTGAAACTTCCCTCCTGTAGACTCTAGACCTTGTCAGGCAGTCAATGTTGTTTGTCACCTTGTAAAGGTCCAAAAAGCATTCCAGTGCCTAACAAACTAAACCCTTTCCTCCCTATACCATCATCTCATCCACACACTGAGACTCCTAATTTGTGCCTGTCTGATCCCTGGCTATTAAGAGCCAGTGGTTAAAAGCACTGGACTCTAATCTGGAGAACCCGGTTTGATTCCCCACTCCTCCAGATGTAGCCTGCTGGGTGACCTTGGTCCAGTCAGAGTTTCTCTCAGCCCCATCTATCTTGCAAGATAACTGTTGTGGGGAGAAGAAAGCGACCTCCTGGTGGCACCTGGTATTTTTGGCCACTGTGTGACAGAGTGTTGGACTGGATAGGCCACTGGCCTAATCCAACATTGGCTTCTCTTATGTTCTTATGCTCCCTTATGTTCTTAAAATGGATGTAAGCCACTTTGAGACTTGGGGTAGAGAAAAGTGGGGTCTAAAAACCAACTCAACAGGGAGAGCACCATGGTCCTGCTTAGCATGGTGGGAACAGGGATCATATATCAGGAACAGACATTAAACATCTTGGAACAGCCTATGGAACCCAGCATTTTCAATAGTAGAAGAGGGCTACCCATCTACAGCAAACATCTCCCATATGAGTTAAGTGACCCATACTCTGCCTGCTTCTGCCCACCCTTGGCACCTTAGCAGCAGCCTTCCCAATCACCTCCATCAGAGATGCTTGGCATCCAGACCTATAGGTGAACTAGAGGGCAGAGTATCAGAGGGGATCATGAAGTGACTTCCCTTTTGGCTGGCTCATGGCTGCATGGCCAGCCCACCAGCCTCTTTCTCTCCCCTTGAAGAAGCACTGCCTGTTGGTGCTTCTCCAATAGTACCTGAGCCCAGTTGTTGAGAGATGACTGAAGTCTTCCCTTCAACTGCTCCTGGCCCTATGTTGGCACTGTGCAACACGGGGATCCTCAATCCTCTGGAAGTTCTTCCAGACCAGGGAGGTATAGGGGCCCCAAAGCTTACTAAAAGGTGCAGGCACTGCTAGAGCCGCCTCCTGTGAAGGGATCGGGGCAAACACATCATGCTGGGGGGTGGGGGGAATGATGATGAGATAGCAGCATCTGAGGGTGTGCCTTCATTTCTTCCTCTGGCACCACCTCCAGCCTGACTCACAATAATCTGCTGCCCTTGACTGTTTCTTTCTCAGCACTAACATGCAGTTGCCTATATAACTTTTTTTGTTGTTGTAAACCTACACCCAGGTTTTCTTCAATTGGATTTTTTTTCATTCTAAAAAAATCTGATTTTGACTTTTTAGGCTAAAAGCTGGCTATTTATTTTTTTTTAACCTGCAACCCGTGATGGAAGTATGGAACTCTTTTTAAAGCCTTATTTTATTTTTCCTAGTGTACAAGCAAAGCCTATTTTAAAGAAAAAATTAAGCTAATTCCTAGTCTTTCTGAAAATCTGACTTCATTTGGAAGCCTGACAAAAGGCTAGGCCTTTTTGTTTGAAGAACACTTACTGAACCCTAAGCTGAAATGTATTTTGTGTTTAAAAGCACAATTGTTGTAAGGAATTTATTTATTTACTTACTTATTTATTGAATTTATATCCCACCCTCCCTGCATAGCGGGCTCAGGGCAGGTTCCATCTGATATATATAATTGCCCTAATGCATTGGCACTTTCCAGCTCTCCCATTGGCTGTGCTGTGTGCTCCATCAGCCATTGGCCAATCAACCACCAGTCAAGAGTACTCATATGCCATTGACTGGGATCTGGGTCCACTCCTCTTCCCCACCCACTGCCACCTCAGCCACTTTCCCGTCAGAATAAACTGCCAAAATGGCTGTCTCTCTTGATGAAGCCACTTCTCCTGCTTGGCTCCTGTGGGACTAACGTTTCCCTCAGTGGCTGTTGCTAGGCAACCAAGCTTGGTTTTGTCAGTAAAAAGGCAAAGCCAGGAGGCTCTTTCCAGGCCTTTGTAGGGAACTCATTGGGGCCTGTCCTGACTAGGGTTGCCAGCTCCAGGTTGGGAAATTCCTGGAGATTTTGTGGTGGAGTCTACGGAAGCCAGGGTTTGGGGAGGGGATAGGCCTCAGTTGAATAGAATGCCATAGAGTCCACCCTCCAAAGCAGTTATTTTCTCCTGGGGAACCATTGCTGCCATGCTCCAGGTGAGAGCTGGAGATCACTCAGAATTACAACTACTGTCTAGGTGGCAGACCTCAGTTTGCCTGGAGAAAACGGCTGCTTTGCAAGGTGGACTCTGTGTCATTATAGCCTGCTGAGGTCACTTGAGGGGTGGAGCCTGGAGATGATGGGGTTTGAGGAGAGGTGGGGCCTCAGACATGTACAATGCCATAGACTCCACCCTCCAAACCAGCCCTTTTCTCCTGGGGAACCACTGTTGCCAATCTTCAGGTGAGGGCTGGAGATGACTCAGAATTACTGTTAAAAACTGACAAATCACCAGGCCCGGATGGCATACATCCAAGAGTTTGGAAAGAACGGAAAGAACTCAAATGTGAACTTGTGGATCTCCTGACAAAAATATTTAATCTTTCATTAAAATCTGCCTTCATTTCTGAGGACTGGAAGGTAGCTAATGTCATTCCTGCCTTTAAAAAGGGTTCCAGAAGAGATCCGGGAAATTACAGGCCAGTCCATCTGACATCGATACTGGGTAAGTTGGTGGAAACTGTTATTAAGGAAAGACTTAGTAGGCACATCGATGAGCAAAACCTACTGAGAAAGACTCAGCATGGGTTCTGTAAGGGGAGATCTTGTCTCACTAACCTTTTAGCGTTCTTTGAGGGAGTGAACAAACATGTGGACAAGGGGGACCCAAT